TGTGTGTGTGTGTGTGTGTGTGTCATCTAAATCTGTTTAGGCTAGTGCACTGTCCTCTGTGGCAGAGGTTGCAGAATTTGAGACAGGGATATACTCGGCATCCTTATTTAGGTTCTTCACATTCCTTATCTCAGTGTATCACTCACCTTTTCCTTGTGTTTTTACTTACCTAAGAATTTATGAGCCAGTTCAGAAAATAATGAAATAAGAAAGGTATTATATAAACTTCTTAGATAATTCTTATTATGGAAGGAATAAGAATAAGAAGAATAAGAAGAATAAGAATAAGGAATTCTTATTCTTATTATATAAACTTCTTAGATAATTCTTAGTTAGAAAAAATCATTATGGAAGGTAATTGTAACAAATAGTAGTATGATTTGACCTCCCTGTTTACTTGTGTGTATGTCAAGTGGAGAAAATATTTTTCAATTAAAAAAAAAGTCGCTACTTAGAATAATTCAATTCAGCTTTCTTCATTTCATAAGGCAGGAATTTACTTCCCTTTCTCTGGTTGCACAATTCTCACTTATCTTGGGTTGACATCCATTCAGTGCTTTTGAGTATCGATGAAAAATTGGAGTAGAACTGAAAGTCTTACCTGGAGATGGGAAGAAATTATTGTACAAGGACCAGCAGGCTTTTGTGTCTTTCACCAATAGCCCGTCTTACAACCAAACTTGCAACCAAGGCCATCATCCCCCTTTTTGGGAGTAGGGTCTTTTAAACTGAAGTTTATATAATACATTATTGAAAAGAAAATATTAACTCTTCCTGGCTTACCATCTGGTGTCCTTTAAATACTAGAAAATAACATTTTAAAAAGACTTAAAATTGTGTGAGTTTAAACTACTTCAATATAAGTACGGTTAAAGATCAACAGCGAATTATATATCCTGTTAATATTTTCTTTATTTTCCATGCGTCTTCATCATATCTGTGAAAATTCTACTTACATAAAACAATGTGAACAAAATATTTATTGCTACATAAATAGTTCAAAATTCTTAAGTCCTATTAATTATGCTGTTATCAGAACCCTTAAGGATCAAAGGATTTCGTTTGAGAGGGATTTCATATACAGCTTGGATTATGTTGTTAAATAATAGCACAGTAGTACTTCTTTAGCATTGTAAAATAGCTTAGAGAGGAGTATGATTCCTATAGCTGGTGTAATGCATTGGTAATTAAGAGGGTGTGAGGTTAAGCTTCATTAACTGCTGTGGGATTGTATCTGGGATTTTATTATCCCCTAGAGAATATAAGAAGTGAGAGAGGTCAAACTGTTAGAACCTGATTTTGCCGAGTGCATCTGCCAAAACAAAGCCAGCGAAGCCATGCGGCAGCAGGCGCACAAGGCCTTGGCGTACAGCACAGACGGGTTGCGCGCCGTTTCATTACAAGAGGAAGAGATTTATAAATACAAATTATTTCATGGGTCTGATAAAACTCTCAGGTTTGGATTGTGGGACACAAAATGATTTTAATTGTTCTGTATATTTAGTACTAGTGCTTTAGAAAACCAGATTTTTTTTCCACAAATGTGTATTTTTCGTTTTAAAACACAGCAGCAAACTTCTTTCTACTCCATCTCACTCTGCATACAGACACTCCAAAAAAACCTGTGCACTTTAACTTTAGCACTTGTCTGCGTTTTTGTGTTTTCATGCTGCATAGCAAAGACTTGTGTTTTGCTTGACCCCAAGAAATACTGTGTATTTTTTTTAACTAATGCACTCCTATGTGCTTTGTTATTCTATATGCGTTATGAACATTTTGCCTTTTTTAGTCTAGGAGAATATAACAAGTTTTAGAAGGTGACATTGACGTCAGAAAAATGACAGTCCCAAAGCTTTTCAGAGCTGTATTATATTGGAGCTGAAATATTTTTAAGCAGAAATAAGTTGGAGATATTATGGGCTGATAAATTAATTCCTTTCTTAGTCTTTTCTTTTAGTAACAGATACTTTCCAAATTCTGAATGAATTTTTTGAAGCAACTTTTAGGCATTTTAATAATGTTCTATTCTTAACATCTGGTTTTGATTCTAAGAATGTCAATGTATTTAATCCTAAACAAAATGAGTTTAAAGATGAGATGGTTGTAAGACCAAGTAACCCTGGCAGTATTTTAAGTGTCAGCATGTCATGTGAATGTATTTCCTGTGTACAGACAAAAACTCAATGGTCAGAACCTCATGCATCTACAGTCTGACATAGACTGGACATGTGTTCTTCAACTAAGAATAGTAGTCTGGTTCTATATGGCAAAAAAGGAGAAGATTAAGGCACTAGATGCACTAACTGCCATTTCCCTGCATCAAGGTGCTCCTTAAATTGTTTTCTGTGACCCCTAGCCATTGTTAAACAATCATTTTCTAGTATACCAAACTTTTATTATGTCCGAATTCAATCCTTTCATTATGTCAGAAGTTAAAATAAACCCAGATCACTAAAGGCTCTTACAGATGGATGCCTAGATAGGAATCTTTTCTGCCAGAGGTGCAAGACCATCGGCTTGAGGTGAAACTGTATTGCTTGATGTGCTGGAAGCTCCTGTGCTCCTCAGCTCAGCTAAAGCACAGGGCAGTGGTCACTCGTGTCACAGGAACGTGTGCGCTCTCTGCGGCAGGCTGTCTTCAGCTCTTGTTCTATAGACCTCTATTTGGTCCTGACATAGGACACAGTCTCTGTGTAAGAACATAAAAAAGTTAGATGCGACTATATGAATGCAAATTGATAAGCTAAATGCCCTAGTCACAAAATTGTCTCTGTCAGTTATCGTGCAGTGAAGTTGAACCGGTAATGTGTAACTCATTAGAAGTGATTCTAGAGGAGGAGGGGAAAAAAATTAAATGGTATTAAGAAAATATTGGTGCTTTCTCTTTAGTTGCAATAAAGGTAAATGGTAAAATAGGCTGTTTCCTGGATTTTGGCTTTACAGGTGGTGTGATAGCTAAGCAGGGATGTTAGAGCAGTAAGAGGCAGCAATAGGTGAGCATCTGACTGCATTACTGGCTGTGCCTGAGACAATGGGAAGCTCAAGGAGCTTGAGGAATCCTTAGGCAGGATTTGCACTAATGATGATCCCTTCCAGATTGCTGATCAGGGATGCCACTTAGTGCTTACTGCTTTTCAGATAGACAGGAATTGCCTACCTCTATAAAGAGTTGCAGGTGCTACTTAAGGTGTGGTTGATCTCAGTGAGAGGGAGGAGATGTCTGGAAAACTCACTGTGGGTTACAGAATTGTTCTTTTACAGAATTTTATTAATCAAAGGGGAATAAAAACATTTTTAGTATCTCTACTTGATCCATATTTTGAGCTCGTGATATATCCACTCTTCAGAGGAAAAAGACCTTTTCATAAGCTAGCTTAAATCTATAAGCATCCTTAATTTAGAAATTAAATGTGCATACTAGTATCAGCTGTTCATTAATTTGTTTTCAAAATAGCACCTTTAAAAATTAACTTTTTTTGAGAATACCTGAATTAGCAAGAAATTCAAAATAGCTTTTTTTTTTTTTTTAATCTTTTATATAAGTGACAAACTAAGTGCAAATAATTTGTCTCCATGCATGTGAAATGCATTGGCAGTTTATCAGCTCATTTGTATTTGGACCATCTCATAGCTTTTCATTATTTTGCTGATTTCATTTTTTTCTTATCTGTTAGAAATCCTCTTTTTTGTTATGAAAGTTTCCATGCTTTCTTTCTGCATAGATATAAGGAAGCTTTGACAGAAGTGAATTTATATTTTGTTGTGTAAATTTAATGAAAGTCTTAAGTACTAAATAAAGTAGTAATCTATTTGTAGTTTTTCACCCATAAACCTGTGTTTTTACTACCCCAGTATTCTGACTTAGTATACAAGTGTAGCTTTTCAGCTAGTGTTAAGACATTTGAAACTTAATATAATGGCTATTTATAAACTGTATATAACCATTCTCATGGAAGACCTCTGTAAGCCGAAGAGTGTTTTTACTTTTCCTTTCTTTTAAGAGTGAAGTAACAAATCCCTGAAGTGTCATCTTCATCTCTCACTGGCTTACAATGGAAGGAGTTAATTAAAATTATTACATTCTTCATTTTCTTTAACTAAAAGTAAGAATTTGTATTGAATAGTAAATCATGAGCTTTTGCCTTTTGCTTACTAAAAAGAAAGAAAATTAAGAACCTAACAGGTGACCTTTGTATCTTCTGCTTGGTTGCTGAAACACAGAAATTGTCTTATTTCTGCAACTTTATGGAATTCATCACAGAAGTTTTCATAGTGTCCATTACCTTCAATTTCAGAGTTTGTACTGACCAATTATTGACAAAACGAAAGTAACAGTTGTCCTGCTTAGAAACAGCTGTTCTCAATTTCACCTGCACTTGTAGGTCTGGCATTAATTTACACTGAAGAAACAAAGAATGCACATTATTTATAGGAACACATATTGTACTATTGTGAGTTGTATTAGAAGCTTTTGTCAGTTAAAATATTAAATACCTGTGATTTTATTTTTTTGTGTTCATTAGTGGATATCATACCTAGCAGCAGAAGATGAAATTCAAACTATCCCATAGGTCATTTTTAGTCAGTATCTGTATTGTTGTCTATTTACTCCTTCTAAAAGATTGAGAAAAGCTAATATTGAAGAATATTATCAAATATTCTTCAGTTTGTTATGCAGAGCACTTAGCCATTCTTAGAAATTGTTTAGGGGCTCACGTTAGTGAAAAAAAAATCAAAAGACTCAATATGGATGCTGCCGCTTAAGATGCTTTTGTAAAGTTCACTTTATGATGTTACTTTTTTGTGTGTTCTCTTATGATTATGCAATCTCTTATGGGTATGTAATAATTAGGCAGCATTTCTCACTTTCATATTGCTGTTATTTTAATCAAGTGCTGTTACAATTTTTCAATGTTTAAATAACATTGCAGATTTTGAATAAAAATCTTGATTGCAGTTTCTTCTGTAGATAGATGTCATTTTTTCCTTTCTATTTGCAGGAGCTTCCAGCCCCTTTGCTTGATAACTGTAAAAATGAAGTGAGAGAAGAAACAACAACTGTTACATCTGAAGATGATTCTATGCAAATAGCTTGGCGCTACCAAAATTTTCCCAAAGTTGAGGTAAAAGTTCAGTATTTGACTTTTTTTTTTTAATCTTGCAGATAAAACAAATGTGTAAAGCAAGTGTGTGTCAGTAGAATATAGACAGTAGAACTGCTAATAGACTGGGTGACAGGGGTGCTTCCTGAGACTGAATTGAGTATACTGGTATATAACAACTACTGTTGTATTGTAACAATGAGGATTGTAACAGTTAACAAGAAAAGTGATACCAACTGTAGACACTAATAATTTAAAAATAAAAAGTTAGCATTCTAAGGGATTTTTCAACAAATATTATTGATTTGGGGCAATTTTTAAAAATAATCTTATTTACAAATTGCATCCAAATTGAGCTGTGCACCAATGATTTGCAGGTTTAGTTGACAGTCCTTTTTAGACATCTCTAGTGAAAGTTCGGTATTGAAGCAAGCTGTTGACTTGCTTATCCATGTGCGTAACAACTAGAGTAAGCACTTGAGATTGTATCAGCTTCACTGTCACTGCAAACTAATCACTGTGAAGGGAAAATACAAGAAACGAGCCCAGTGGTCAGTCTTTCAGAGTTTACAGCTGTTAGTGTTTTGTGAATAATGTAGCTCCCTAGGCCTGTTACTTATTTAAACTAGTGACACAATAGAGTGCTAATAGAGTTGCAACATTTTATTTTACTATCCAGAACAAAAAGTTCATTACATCTATACATTTTATCCTAAATCTTCTATAAATTCAGGTTTAGATGTTGTTGCAACTGCCTAGTAAGTTCAGTCATATTTCTAAAAAACATAATTGGAATGTGACAAAATGATCTTATAGGGCTTGGCATGTTTGGTTTTCTGTGAAATTGCATAGACGTGGCTATATAGTTGTGTCAGAAAAGACTTATATATGGTGACATGCCAAATCAAACAGCCTCCAGGATAATCATATAATCTCATCAATTTTATTATTGTGGAGCTTGTTGGGCCACTCTGAACCATCCCCAAAAATGCTGTTTTTTTAAAAATCTTAATTTTTTTTTTTAAGAGTTCCTAGCACATGGATATAGAAACAATTGCATGCCATTAATACACACTGTTGTGATGTTCTATCAAAATAGAAAAACATAAGTAATCCAGTTAGATGTGCACTCATTGTTACTTTGTCCAGTAACGTAATGTTTCTCTTCAATATGTAAGGCACTTGTTGCTGTCTATCAAGATTAGATTGTGCAATACAGAATAAAATGATAAATGTTTTGTGGGGTATCTTCATTTTCTTAATGTAGCTTTCTGATTCAGATTGTCATAATTAATACTTCATGCATAGTATTTTTTGTGTTAAATTTCAAAAAAAAAAATCTAATTACTAAGTTGTAAAAAAATCTTCAGAATAGATATGTCAAAATATTCAAAAATAATTTCAAGCATTTTTCACATAGCTAGACTATTTTGGAGGGCAGCTATCAAATCTTGGTGCTAGCAAAATTAATTTGCTTGCAGAACATGCTCCATCAAGAATTATATCTGATGTAGCATGGTAGCAGTCTGGATGATTTAATACATTTAGTAATATTATTTAATTAACAACTTGAGCTGTGATTTATTTTTTGAATTTTCTTTAGGCAAATAGTTCTGTGACATGAAAACAATTTTTCAGTTGTGTTACATTAAGTATTCAAGGCATGTTTTCCAAACTCATTGGACTGATAAGCTAGTAAGTTTTTAGAAACTACTGTCAAATAGCTTCAGTTGTGGAAGGGAGAAAATTGGTTTTACTTTGAATTAGAACAGAACACTAAAGTTAGCAGAAAACTTTTTTGCACAGTGTCTGCCTTGATTCAGAACAAGAAATGCTGAGAAAAAAATTCTCTTGACAGTATTTTTTGCTGCCTAATTAAGTTATTATTTGTAAGTAATTAAAGTTGTTTTCATTGATTGTTAGGGTATTCCCTTCCTTTTCATTAGGTCTTGTATGAACTGCTGGGTAGCTAATTTTTTTATTGTTATGCATGGTCTGTGTATTAGTGTTTGTCAGGACTATCACAGTTTCTCTTCAGATGTGCATACACCTTACGCACATCTGAAAAAGCCACTTGTTTTGAAAGGAATCTGTAATGTCTGCTGTGCCTTTGCCAGATACTTTTAACTGTAGCAGGGGATGATTTCACTCAAACTTTTGGGTACATGGGTAGCCTGTTTTGCAATGCAATACAGTGATTTTTTTTTTTTTTTTGAATGAACTGCTTATGTTCTTGGGGCAATATATAAACTGTCACAGCATGAAATCAATTTTCTGCCTTGATTCATCCTAAATCTGAGATTTCTAGCACATTAGTATTGCAATTAAAAACATTAACAGCAGACGGTAGCATAAAAGCACGCTCTGCTCACTGACAATTCCGTGTATTTCTCCGTGTGCAAGCGAGTAAGCCAAGAAGGAGCAGCCTTGAGCCTACACTCCACTGTGAATTTATCCGATCAAACTGAAGCGGGCTGGAAAGTCTCTGTTTCACCCTCTCCCTGGCCATTGGGCTAAGGGAGATTATTCAAGCTTACTTGATTCAGGTAGGCTTTTTGCAAGCTTCCCCACTAAGCCTGGGAATGCAGGACATTGAGGCCTATTCATGGGCTTCTGACATAGCCTGAGCTTTTATTGCATGGTGTTTTATTATAGCCAAATCCGAGTCTCCACCCAGTTTGTAGGCACTGTGCTTATTCTTTTGACTCAAGAGAGGTTATCACCTACCTTAATCCATGCAGCAGGGTGGATTAAGGACACCAATGTGCCTCAGGATTCTCAAAGAGGATCCTGGAAACTTCTTGTTTCTTCTTTTTTTGCCGTCTTTACTAAACTCTCTTGGGCCTCAGTAAGGATTTGCATCTGAAATGGGCAACCTGGAGCTTTTCTCAATGAAGACATCAGATCAAAGTTCAGTTAGTCAAGGCCTTTCTAAAACATTAAGGGGGCTTGGAAGTACACAATAAAAAGATGAGCTCTGCCAGAGATTGCAGTAAAAACATTCTGATCTGTAATCCGGATAAAGAATAGATTATAGGCCAAAGAACAGCCCCTGTTTAAATTGCTTTCAGAATTCTTGTTTAAAAAAAAAGTTACACTTTACATAAAATATTTAGAAGTTAGTTTGATAGGTTTTTGTGTTTTGTTGTCCTTCCTTATGGAGAATGCAGTTATTCATAAGATGAAGCACAGATTTAGTGAATGTTTGTTCCTTTTGTATGATTAAAAATATCTGCCTCTTCTGACTAGAAATATGTAAGCAGTTTTGCTTTTTAATTAAAGATTATTTGTATTAAAAATAGCCAAAATTTGTCTTTTTGTTTATTTTTTTTGTTTTTACAAGGAAGTTATTTTCTATTCTCTGATAACTGGCTAGGCCTGAGATCGACTGATCAAATAATTTCAAAATATTTACTTTAAGTCAAATTATTCTAATTAATTTTAACAGTTTAATATATTCTTGGTAAGCTGAAGCATGAAATAAAATTGTGGCAATAGACAGCGAGACTGCTTTCTGAAAGCTAAGCAAAGATACGCGTCATGTTTAGAGTGTCGGTGTTCTTTCTTTTTACTGTTGCGGTACTTAATTTAACAAGAACAAGTTTTATGAAAACCATAAGCTGCTTGTAATATTTGGAGTGGTAACTAAGCTTCCTGTCTAACACACAAGAAGTAATTATTGCTAAGATCCTGTTATAATTCACTGTGACTATTGTCATTCCTGCTTTCAGAATACAGAATAGGAGCCGAAATGATTCTAAAGGATTTTTCGCTATATATGACTCCTCTTAATTTTCTCATGGATAATAAAACTTACCTATTGGCTTGCTTAATGGGAAAATCCTCGTAAACAGCGCTTTAAGTTGTTCTAGAACTTACTGAAAAACTTCCAGAAATATTGGGAAAACCCTAGTGGATTTTTCAAGAGTAAATCTAGACTTTTAAGTATAACGAAAATATTTCATTTTACCTAACAATTGTATTATTCCATTCATCATAGACAGTGATGTGATGAATAAAATGTTACTTAGCAGGATCCTTGATCACTACGTTTGCATCCTCAGCTGCTGCTCAGATAAGAGTTGTTTTGTATCAGATATTTTCCTTAATTAAAAAAATAAAATTGATGACTACACAAGTAGGTGTAGGGGAGAGTGCCTGTGCGTGTGTATTTTGTATAAGGTGCAGAGAAGTAGCTGTAGAAATTGGTCCTCAGTTGAAAGAGAGCTGCCCAGGCAGGTTCTCCTGTTCCCATCCTGAGGAGCCTGATGGCGAGGGCTGGATTGAAGGGAATCCAACAGGGAAGCTAGTCATCTTACTGTGGAAATGAAGAGCCAAATCTGTGCTCTTTCTCTTTGCTTTATATACAGAAGATAGCTCTATATACTGCATAGCATAACAATTAACCATTTTTAATATTGTATGTGTAATCGAAATAATGGTGCAGGTTGCTTGGTCTAAATTAGACTAAAACATGCAGAAATTCTTTCCCTGATTATATACTAGCCAAACATTCACAATGTATAACTGTCGCTTCAGTGTTTATGTTTTTGGTGAAGCTTTACATAACCACATTAAGAGCAGATATGTTTGTTAAAATAAGTATCTATTTTAGCAAAGCAAGGTTATTGTGTGTAATGTGCTTGTCATGCTCAACCCGTAGTAATTAAATATTCAAGAAATTAAAATTAGTTTTATCGCTTTCTTTATTACTATTTTTCATTAAAATCAGATGTAGGAAAGTGCAATGCTGTGTATTATTACTGATCATAAGTAAACACAGTGAAACAGTTCCAAAAGTCAACTACAAAATGTTTCAGTAGCTCTTGGTGTAGAGCTTAGAGATTTGAGCCTTTAGAGATGCTGAAAAATCTGATAGATAAATCACTTTGTGGCCTGCACAGTTCATGTATCTGTGTGGAGCTATGTTGGTGTGTCTGGTGTATGTGCAGAGAAGGGTCCTTTTATGCATTTGCCTTATTGATGCAACTAGTAAGAGTTGAGTTCGGGGGGCGGGGGGAACAATTCATGGAGAGCCAGAAGTTTATAGTAACAAATCTTATATTCGTTCTGCTTTATATATTCTGCTTATAGCTTATATTTATAGTGAGTATAAAAAGTCAGTTTTGTTAGGTGTGCTGCTAGTTAACTTCCTTCTCAATCATCTAATAAGTTATTGTAATCATTACTGCTGTTTCCACAGGCCAGCCCAAATACATCTTCAAGATTTGGCCATTATTATGACATTTCTAAAACGATGTCTTCAGAACTGTTTCATTCCATAAAATGTCACAGTTTTTTCCTACCTGAAGAACCATCTTTGCAGCCTACAGTAAAAATGCAGTAAGTTGTAATCGCGTATGTTTCTACTTGTGTTCAGATGCTCTGTGTGTATTAGCAGTAAGTGACATTGTTTTTCTTGTACATTTACTATCAAAAATCGTCACACTGATATGGGTAAATTGTAACACCACCGTGGCACAGAGGCTGCTCAGCCCACTGACTCCTCAGCTGGGCAGGAAGCAAGAAGCAGTGACGATTGACAGAAGTTCCTGTGCCTGCCTGGGCCAGGACTCAGTCTGCCTCTCCTGAAGGTGAAAGGTAGAATGGAGGAAAACTTGCTGTTTGGCAGTGAACTGCTCCCTGGGCTGCATGCCCCTTCAACTTTCAAAAATGTCATGTGGCAGATGGAAATATCCATACAGAGTTTTTATGGTCAAGAAAATAGGCCAACCTTGACTTAAATAGCTTCGAACATGGTGTGTTAACTAACACATCGTGTTAAAGACTTCTAGCATCTTACATCTCCACCAAAGGAAAATACAAAATACTGCGAATGACTGATGTGTCTTAGGCAACAACCCTGATTCTAGAAAGTGATAAACTCTTCTCTGAATAACTCATTATAGCTCATGTCTGTAAGTAAAGAATTGAAACCACAAGAAAATGAATGACAGCAGCAAAGACTCATATTAGCCTGTGGCCTCCATGTCTGCTGAATCTTGGAGACATTTTGAATCAAGTCAAATGTCAGGTACAGACTAGCGATCTTTGCTCAGCCCATTTGCTTTATTTATATAATGTCTGGGGTTTATAGATCCCAATTTATAGGGGCAACCTGCAGAAGTAATACAGGATGCTTTTTTCCTAATGAATTTAGATTAAAGTATGCTCTAATAGAAAAACTGGAATTCATAAAAGAAAGACAGGGTGAAGTACCCTTCTTAGAAGTGTAGACAAGCAAAAGCCAAGTCCCCTTGTTATTTTTGCAGCATTATACAATCAAATATCACTTGTTTTATTTCTGTAAGGCATATTTATTTGATTTTGTAGCTATTTTATTGTTGATCATCATATTGTTCATGACCCAGTTCCTGTTATAAATAACTTCTTATAGGGACGTGGGAAATCTAGAAGTAGTATGACTACCAAAATTGTGTAGGACTGCTGCAGTGAGGGATTTCTCAGTACAGCATCAGCTGATAAGGTGTGGAGATGATCAACTGGAGATGAATTTTGGACATACTGAGACAGCAGACAACCACAGTTTTCAACAGCATATTTATTTATTTATTTATTTTGGCCCACAATATGGATGGGGTCGGGGAGGAATAAAGAACATGTTGGGAATGTGAAGTAGCAGATGGAGGTCAATTGGAGGGAGGTATAAAGAGGTGTTTATAGCTCTTTCTTTCTTTAAATTGAATAATTTATTTTGTAACTTTATTTTCTTCCCATACCCCTGACTGCCCAGAGAGGTTGTGGAGTCTCCTTCTCTGGAGATCTTCAAAGCCTGCTTGGACGCAGTCCTGTGCCACGTGCTCTAGGTGACCCTGTATGCGCAGGGGTGTTGGACTGGATGACTTCTAGAGGTCCCTTCCAACCTTAAGCATTCTATGATTCTACCCTGACCACAAAGGCCTCTGCGTTTGGATGACTGATGGTGGAAAAAGTTGAATTAGGTCAAGTTAAGGTGAGATGAGAGGAAGAATTCTCCAGAATTACCATATCTGAAATACAATTTCTTTCTCTATAGAAAAATGGAAGATTGTCATCCATATTGTACACTTGGTCACTTTTGAGACATGTTTAAAAAACAAAGTGAATTAATTTTAGCTGCCATTCATTGGTGTTGCGTAACTAGAGTTCTTAACTCAGAAATTCCTTTCTCCCTCTGATGGCATACATAGTATCAGCAAATGGAAATACACTGGTTACGTAAGGAAAGAACAGGTTAGAAAATGTCTAAGTATTTTCAAATTTCGAAATTTGTCAAAAGTTCTGTGCATTCAAAAAGACAGAAGCACTGCCCCTCTTTAAGGAGAGGGAAGGAGAAGGCATTAGTAGAAGAATATCAGTGCTCTGAAAAATACTAGGAAAAATATCTATTTATAAGCTTGTAGAAGAGTTTCACTCAGTGCAATGTTTTCTTTGTTTGCTTATGAGTGTTGAACTGAGTCAAAAGACTTTAAAACAAACAAGAAGATACTGTGCATCGATTAAGTCTGCTATCATGTCAAAAGAGGAATATAGGCTGGTTTGACAGTTTCATTTTTGTCAAATCCATGTTGACTGTTAAATCTTTATCTTCTAAATAAGCTGTCATTGACTCACAGTTGAAATTGAACGAAATATCGGGCTTTATCCCAATATTGCATCTGGTACTAATCGGCAGCTAAATAAATGTCCTGAGCAATGGCTATTTTATTGCAGTCATGAAGCATGTCAACTTTGCCGAAGAGTAGAAGGAATAATTGCATACATTGAGGAGGTAGAATAAGAATTCAAAAAGATTTAGGTCAGTGGTCTGAAATAAATTATATAAAATTCAGGGAAAACACGCAGAATACCATACTAGTAAGAACAGTTAATTGAACAAAAGAAATGGTGTTGCAGTTCTCCAGGAAAGGTGGATGTAGGAGGTGTGTGTTACATTTTATGTTCAAGACATTTTATATTAGCAGCACTGGGTGATTTGTTCTGCCTAAATGTATAATTTAAAATACACGGAGGTGATAAATGGGAGTAGAAGATATGAGGTACTTGTATTTTGCTTAATCCTAACAAGGCTGTCTGGGTTTAGTTAGCATCCTTCAAGGAAACGGAGCATGAGGAGTAGCATGTGCGAGCTGCAAGGTGAGAATGGGAGCTGTGTAGACAAAGCTCAGTGCAGTCTCAGTAACAGTCTTCAAGTTGGCTCAAGACTGACACACGAAGGCTCATATTTTGGTCGTCTGCTGATGGAAGGGCAAGCATGAGTAGGCCATGATAAATTGTAGCAGTGGAGACAGACTGGACATAAGGAGATATTTTTCTAATGATAAGCATTAGAAGAAGTTGCCTTGCAGACACAGGTTGGGAGAATTGTAGAATCTCCATCAGTGAAGATTTCTAAGGACAAGTTAGGTAAATATCTGTCAGAGATGGTTTAGGTATAGTTCATCTTGCCTTGGGGCAAGATGATAGACTAGCTGACCTCTTGAGGTCCCTTTCATCCCTATCTTCTGTGATTCTTTAATACACATTAGTCATAGTGTATTAAATCCTAAACTAAGTAGGAATGTTACCAATTATTTCAGTGCTTTTATAGAAAAGCAGCAAGCAAGTATTTTTACAAATGTCTGATTCTGAAGGAAGCATTCCTTTTTTAAGGAGCTACGGCAAGGGACTTTGAATTGTATAAATCTCAATCCTGTCTGGGTCACTTCATTTCAGAAAGTTTAAAAGAGGGAAGGGAAAGGATATTATTTTGTTGTCATTACTGTCTGGGAAGTGAATACAATGCTTCTGGCTTCTAGAGCCAGCTTCAGTATATTACAGACTGGTGAAAAATCTCATTCTCATTAACTTAGCAATGTTTTAAAAGAAAGTAATATTATAGTCGTAGTTAACCCTCCTGCTAGAGATCAGCAGTTTGCCCACTCTTTGGTTGCATGAAGGCCTCACGGAAGAGAGTTTGAGCTAAGCTCTTTCACTGTATCTTCCAGTGACTGGGACCGTGCATGGGGCTAGTTATCTGTCAGCTGAGCGGGTTTAATTTCTTAAACATAAGTTTTTCTGACTCTGGTCTTAGGTGAAATATCTGTTAGTGTAATGCTTATTACTAATACAGCATTTGGAGACTTCTGTGAACTGTTAATCTGTCAGTGTGTCAGAAGTATTGAGTGGAATTAAAAAATTGTTGCAAACATGACTGGCGAAATACTCTGAAATACCATTTTTTAAAATTCAATTTATCAAAGGATGATTGACAGTAAATGTGCTATGATCTATAAACCTCTGTTTAAAGAAAAGTCATTTCTGGTAGTAGAAATTGTGTCTTTAATGTGTCAGAAGGAACTGTAATAAAATCCCATGACTGATAGCTGACACTATACAAAGCATTTTCAAAATAAGGATGCCTTTTTAAGAAGGAGGATAGTTCATTATTGAAGCAATTTTCATAAATAATAGGTTATGTATTATGGGATGTCTTCTAAAGATTTCATGACTTTCAGAAGATATGCTTTGTAAGATATGTATAAATAAAGACATTTGAGTGAATTTTTCTCTTAAATCATGTAGGAGCACAAACTGAAGCCGCTGGCCTGTTTTTAAACAAAAATACCTATTTTTGTTCCAAACAAAGAATATATTACATTCATTACTAATGCTGAGGTAAAGGCGGAAGCAGATACTGATGGGTTTACTAGTATATAACTTCCCATGCCTAAATGGTATGTTGCTGGATGGTGCCAGTTTATAATATCTGAAATTGCAAAAACATGCAGAACTGGGGATACCGTTCTTTCTGGCAGTGTGGAACTGTTCTCTGCCTCTAGCCTTCTGTTGGTTGGAAAGGATGGGGAACAAGAGAAGTAATGTTTTGCTCTCTGTTCCTTTCACAGCTTGGGGAAATAATGACAACTAGCAGATTATGCACATGAAGAAGAATATAAAAGAAATGTACCTTACCCTGTTTTCCTGTGCAACTATGCTCTCCAGGTGGAAATAACTTGGAAATAAATTTCGTGACACTCGGAAAATAATGCTATATGTATAGGAGCAAGGGTCCTTTGTACTAATGTTATGTAGCATAAGAACAATATATTTGTAAAAAGATTCAGTTGTCTGGATTCTTCTTCTGTAAAATCACTTTAACAAATTATTTTATTTAGCTTGTTCTTCACTGTGATAACTGTAGCTCATGTCTGTTGCACAATGATTAGAGTGCTGCCTTTGCAGGAGAGAGGCTTTATTTGAGCTAGAAACTCCTGGCCCCTCTTAGAAATCCCATACATATGAAAAATGTCTCTCTCCCTCTCTTCTGAAGCATTTAGCTTCCTTCCTTATGGACTTGCAAAGAGTTCTTTGGTCGGCTGGTTAGACAGAACTAGGTTATTGCCTATTGCATTCAGTTACAGGAAGGCCAGATTTGGAGGTCTTGGACATGGTTTGTTCGCCTTAAATTTCAGAGTGCTGCTTTTCTTTCTAGTGGGTGGGTGTTCTCTTTGGAGGGGGTAGACAAGCAGGCTTATATTTGCTCTTTTCTGTAGTTCTGGTACCTAATGGCTCCAAATGGGTGGAAGTTTACTGCTCCATAATAAACTTGAATTGAAAACAGATTGGTAAGTCTGTTTTGCTAAAGGAAGTAGTAAACACCAGTGAGTGGCTCATGCCAGAAGAAGGCATTAACTTCCATATTTTATCTCATTAATTTCTGTATTAGGGAAGGGCAGTTGTGTCCTCCCCCAAGCCAGCATGGTTGGGGATCTGACAGCAACTGTTTTTCAGTTGCTAGGATATTCTGGTGCCTTTTTTGTTGTGTTTGTAAAACTGGTACTTAACAGGAAGGCAAAAATATCTGCTGTTATAACCGGGCATCACAGAAGAGAGTTGCTTTCTGCCCCTTGACTTTCCTTCTATCGTGGTTGTTCAGTTGTAGTTACCACTTACCACTTCTTTTTTTAAAAAAATACTAAATTTATGTATTATCTAGATTTACAGATAAATCTAGATAAAACAGTTTTGACTGTCTGCCCTAATGGGGTCTCCTTATACATAAAAAGGCTATTTGTCATACCCTTGATAAGCTAACCTTTGTTAAATGCTTAGAAACTATCAATAGGGAAGTCAGAGTCTCTGCTGTAACCAAGATACCTCCTGCTTTATCCGTTACTAAATTGCTAAACAGAAAAGGGTAAAGACGGAATTGTTTAAACTCATTATCAGAATTAGGGTGTTTAGTAACAAGCACACAAAAGACTAGAAATTAGAAAATCAAAAATACCTTGTATCCTTCCTTAAATATTTTTGACAAACATTGCCAGAAGAGTAATACCACTTCTTTTTAGAAACAGTGTTTCAGCACTATTTTTCATGCCCTTATTTACATAGCATGGTTGAAATTCAGGTAAACCATTAATATTTTAGCCAGAAGCCAGAGAGTACCTTCTATTACATTTAAATCAATCTATAGGTATTGCATGAAAATCTTCTCTTGAACTTTTCTGTTGCTTCAAACTTTGTCTACAGGTTAACTGAAGAAACTTCTGCTTTTTATTTCGCAACTTTTTAATTCTTATAAAAGTTTAAGTATTTTATTTTACCATTTTTGAAAGCAATTTAGCAGCAAACTAGGACTTGGCACAGGTATTATGGTTGAAATGTGCTATCGGGGTTCATTATGGATAGTTCTGTAATACCTATGAAGAAAATAAGTGGTAAATCCTTTCTTGAAAACACAGTTCACTTCCAGTTTAATTATGAATTATGACTATGTTTCTTTACATTCATGCACAAAATGGAAAATCTACTCTGTGCTGACAAAAGTCCCTGTGTCTTGTTGTATTACTTGGCATGCTGTGTGCCCTACCTGCAGCAAATGCATCCTCATGTTAAGCATCAGTTTCCCTCTTTTCTGAAAGGATAGAGGAGCGTCCGCAAGGGCAGACTCCTGTCAATAACGATCATTTCCGAGCACTGCTCAGCGTCCAGGGCTGTGTGTTGCCAAAAAGGGAAGTCAGTGATGTGGAGGGGTGAGAGGTTCGCATGGTTAGTGTGAAGGCTAAAGCCCTCTTTCTCCTCGCCTCCCAGATCAACAACTAGAAGATGTCACAGATATAATATTTAAAACAAATATTTCCTTTCTGTTGGAATGTTCCTTTTTTATATAGCATGGCAGACTTTACACATCACAAGTCATATTGAGATATATGTTGACAGTCATTGCATCTGTTTTTTTTTTTTTTTTTTTTTTTAGGTAGTATTGAAGTTTTGAGGTACTTCAGCTTACCCAGTCACCTTCTATAGGACAAAAACAAAAAAACAGATGGAGCTTTTTTGAGCTCTTCCCTCTGTTTATATTTGTGACTATTTCATCTGTTAATGCTTTCTACCATGGAGTTTTTCAAATCTTGAAATTATTATGGGTATATATCTATTTAGATTTGTTATAGACTTTGACTTAAATTTATCTTTTGGGGAGGAGCTGATACTGCTTTCCTGTAAAAATGTAGAATTCAGAGTTAAAGTAAGAGTGTAAAAGAAAAAGGTCTGTTTTTAACTCTTAAATGTGTCCCAGAAAATTTGTTGTCTTTCCTCTATGAAATTATGAAGCAAGCTTAATTGAGTTTATTCGTGCATGCTTTAGTAAAATAATTCATATAACATTTTTAACTTTTTTGCTGAAGTGCAGGAATAGTTTCGTTAATGCTATCAGCCAAGATATATTGAATGATTGGAGGAACTAAGAATAGCTTTAGAGGTAGAATCTTCAAAAGACCCTCATGTTTTCCATGGCACACATGAATCCATAACACTGGTAATTAATGAAGCCAGAAGAAAGTGCTGAAGATGAAAAATAGAGAAGAACTTAAATTCTTTGATGGGATTTGAGAGACTAGTATGGCTCTTTTGAAAGTAGACAGCTGACTTCAAGAAAAGATTGGGCTTTTTGGGTTTTGTGTACATGGTCCCCTTGAGTGGAGATCATGGCTGGGATGGGTATCTGAAGTGCTCTATGAGTGCAGGAGAATTATGTTATAGGTCTTGGAGGAAAAAATGCTAATAAAATAAAGCCAACTATGCCAATTTTTTTTTAATCTTAAGTGGAACAATTGGCCTGTTTTGATTATGCACTCCCTGATCATAGAGGCTGTAGGTAGGAAAACTGTAAATAATAGAAAATTGACTATGTTCATCAGGGCATTGGCTAAGGTGTGCTTGGAATAACAGTTGGGTAACTCTGTGGCAATTACAGATGATAAACATTGTGTAGTTCTTTCATCTTTAAGTTGCTACAGTAAATCACTGCTTTTCCAGAGGTAATGAAGCCTGACATAATTAAGTTATCTTAATCTCTAGAGGTTTTACCTTTCACAAGATGTCTGGGTACTGAATTAGTTAACAGGATCACAGTTGCAACTTAATTTCTACTTTTTAATATCTAGATTGTGGGGGTTTTAGTGAGGGTTCTTTTCCCCTTATGTAATACTTTTGGTCAGAAGGCTGCAACTGTTTAATTTTTTTTTTTAATACTACTACTAGAGGCATATTAAAATATGTTGTTTAACATTTTCTTCCTGCCAACAGTAATATGAACTGTGGTTATGCAAGGCTGCTTCAGTCCATTCAGAAGATCATTTATCAGGAAGGATTTGATGGCTCTCATCCCCAGGTACTGAACTCCTTCATACTCTTCTATAATCTCATAGCTAATGTTGTTTTCACAATTCCCTGGGGTGGCACATGGAGGTCTTGGGCAAATTAACAAGGAACAAGCTGTTTCAGAGCATTGATAAAGTAAACAAGAAAAGTAAATAGAGTGGGGTTTGTATGTTAATGTCCATTTGGACCTTTTATGTGTTTTTAACTGATATGCAGGGGAAGTGAGAAAGGACTCCGAGACAACATTATAAAAATGCATACTCTATGCAATTAGCAAATAAACTGGCCAAATATAACGAAGTCAGGTAAAACGCATTTTCCCCTAAAAGTGTGTTGTTTTTAGTTTGTTTGGTTTTTTCAAATCATTGTTTTAGCTATAACATTCTCAAGACTCTTGAGATTAAACATTTAATTTTAAACATTCATTTTTTTCAATGTTGTGATAGTTGGAGTGAAATTTTTAATGCATTAAATGGTGTGCATCTTTATGTAGCGAGTGTTGAAATGCAATTAAAAAAATAAAAATGCTATTTGAACCTGCATATCAAAACAGTTTCCCAGAGTTTTAAGGATCTCTTCAATATTCATAAGCCATAGAGTAGGTAATAAAAGCATTTTAAGTGTGAAAAAGGTAGGATAAAAATCGTTTGTATTTGAGCTGCGCTCAATCTGCTCTTCCATGTCATATGCAATAGTATGTGACTCCACTGGTCACATTTGGCCCCCTCCGCGCTGCAGTAACCATGGCAACAGGCATGTCACAGTGGCTGGCACCGTGCGGAGCCGGTGACACCACCACAGGCCCCGCACAAGGGGAGCGGGTGCCCTGCGACGCTGCAGCCAGCGGAGCACCCACTGCCCGCCCGATTCGCCCCGCGAGACGGAGCTCATGGGGCTCTGGCACCGTGGGACACGCCAGAGAGGGGTCTGTATATGTAAGACCAAATAGAGACGGGTCAACGCTGACATTATTGGTGTTTTGCTGCACGCGAGCAAGAATTAGTCATCACGTATTTGCTGTAATGGCTCGTGGTTGCAAAACATCCTATTAGTGCAAAGCATCCAGAGTTTAACTCAAACATTTAAATCTGTACGTTTGCTCAAAGTTATACCAAATAAAGTGTATATGTTTTGAAGTGAAGCTTGACAAGTTTGAAAAAGCTGCCTTATCTATCTAAAGAGCCATGGGGACTTACGTAGCTGTCCCTGTTCCAAGGAAGATAATGCATGTGACTTCCTGGGAGCATTGTTTGGGGCATTATGTTCTGGGTTTTTTTTAAGGCTATCTCTTCTCATGCATCATCTGTCCTCACATAATCAAATTTTTGACATGTAAAAGTTGTATATAAGATGCAACCCTAGAATAGGTCCCAGGCTGAATGTAGTTATGGCCCAGACTCTGCTTTGGATCTCTTAATCTCACAAATAGCAGGAAATTTGTGTCTTTCTGCTCCCATATGTCCTCTAGCTCATGCCATTCAGGCTTTGTTTTTCATTCTGTGAAGTACCAACCTTCAAGAGTTGCTGGTCTTTACTGTTTGTCGTTCACGGGGTCTGGATTTGAAGGAAAAGTTTGGCCTGGTTGGTAAAAACCTTTGGATGTTTTTGGCTACTTTCACATCAGCATACGATAATACTTAGGCTTACAAGTCCTTTTCTCTTGGCTCCCCTTTATGTGCCTTTCTGTCCTTTTAATACCAACATTTTAAGGGGAGTCTGGACGAAAGTGAAGAGTATGTGATTTAGCCCAGCTGCCAGTAGTTTCTACTGGTGTGGGGAGCTGAGTGAAAGCTATGTTACAGGTTTAATGGGCCTCTCATAAAACAATCGGGTATCTCTAGTGCCAAATATGTTTGGTTAACATTAGTGGGTTTTTTATAGGATCTTCCACCATCTGGACACCCTAGACAAATAGTTTTTGACTGTCCTTCATTGCACTGTGGCTCCAGGACAGCAATTCATGCTCTTGGTATTAGGCTGAGCCCCACAAAATAATTTGGTTGAAGTTGATCAAAGCAGTAACCTGTTTGCTGGCACTGCCTTTAACAGCTTTGTCAAGGACTCTTTGGAAATTCAGGGTCTGAATCACCTATAACTTACAAATACAAGCTTTGCTTCTGCAGCATTTTCTAAATGTCCCATTAACTATCTGCTGCTGATCAGTTTCCTTTAGATATCCTTTAGATATATGGTTAATATATCAGTTATGGAAGAAACAGTTTGGGGCCCTGTGAGGGTGAATAGACCTGAATAGCCCTGACAGTTACCCTCAGAGAAATTCAGTTACTGACTGAAAAAAGATAAAAAGGACTTCTGATATTGTCACAACTTGATCTTTCCCAACTCTGATAAACATGATAATGCAAAGCAAGCATCTCTCACCCTTTAAGCAATGAGAGCTGATTTTATTATCATAAATCTGTTTTGCCTCTGTTTATGACTTTCTCTTTTTGTTGTTCCTTGAGGAAAAAATATTTTTGCCGCACAAAAGAGGTTAAAGAAACTTTGTTCAGAGTAACTACGTTGTGTTTATATATGGTTGTGCTTATTATGGAGCGCTGGCACATTCTATCTGTACTGTATAGTGGATAATGTGAATAAAGTATCCACTCCACTTCTTTCAATGCCTGTTTCTTGTAGCATTGTTTAAACACATCTGTAAGTGCCTAGATTGGTAAATCTACTTAAAGAATATTAGATTCTGCTTATCCAGTTAAATATTCTAGCCTAGCTAGTACCGGGCAGACAAGTCTAATTTTGTCTTATTTTCCTGTACTGTTCTCTTAATTCTTATACCATACTTCAAATACGTAAAGCCTATAAAGCCTAAGAGACTACAGAATGTAGCAGAAGGCATGTTGCTTTCAGAGCAATTGTATAAGAGCAGGCAGATGAGTTCTCCAAGTGAGCCCTGGGAGACAGAGGAGCAGAGAAGCAACTGTGTGGTGCTTGCTGAGCTGCCCAACTGGGGCTCTGTCTGCCCAAAATGGCCAAGGAGGCCTTGACAAGAGCGGTGGTTGGACCTCTCCTGTGAGCAGAGCAGCTGGGCTCGAGCTGCCCTTGGTTCCAGCTGCACTGCAGCATGGGGGAACGGGGATCTGTCTCAGAGCTCTCCATTGTAATGAGAAGTACCCTGTGAGTTGGTATTTTTGTAAGCTAATATTTTACATAGAAAACTTAGGTAACTATGCAGGAAGATGATGTTGGAGAGATCGACTGACATCTTTCATTTCAGTGGAAAAAATAATAGAAAATTAAGAGAATAATTCCTTTGTATGTAACTTAAGAAACATCTGGGACTGTGTTTATTTGTGTGGATGCAAAGCGTATTAACATTTTTCTTCTAGTGAATATGAAAAATAACTTTATCTGGCACCTTTTTCCCTTCCAGCTCATTGCTGTGCAAAAAAAAATGAATTTGGATTTTATTACCTCTTGTAACTTCATAAGAGAGACTTGAAATCTGAAAGACACATTTTATAAAAAGAATTGTATTTGCTAGTTCTCCATGTAAGACGTTGGCCTGTGCCAGCCCTCCCAAGTACAGCCAGCCTAGCTCACCACCGCTCCCCTTGGTTCCTATCAGTGTGCCAGCAGAAGCACTTGTGTGGCTGTAGCTGTGTCAGCAAAAGCTTAGGTTTTCTCATTTGACATGAGATGGTTTAACTGTGCTGAGAAAAATCCTTTTATTGGTTTTGCAGACAGAGCAATACAGGTAAGCTGTGGGTATGCTGTGAACAGGTGGCTTAAGATTAGTATGAGACAGTGAAAGCAACAGGGGAAATATTTTCCCCCTTATTTGTCTTATTTCACCATTTGTTCTTTCCCTTGCAGAAGTCCAACTACAATGTGCTTTTAATATAAACCGTCAGTAAAAAGAATATTTGCCCTTTAGCTTTTAGAATATATCGGTGTTGTACCCATGAACTGTGTGAGAAGTGCTCTCTTATCTGGTTGTTACTTTAAATAATAACACTGAAACCTAAGCAAGTATTGATCACTTTCTACAAGAAAACTTTCAACAGCAGTACTTACTATTTTTTCTCTCTGCTGTTGATAGCAAATACACTTAAAATTTTTCCACATTACCAGGAAAAATCATATCAAATTAGCCAAAATGAGATTTATGTTCATGAGAGATGACAGTTGAGTTTGCATAGACAAATCGCAGCTCTGACTTCCTAGTCTGCCCCATCAGAACTGGGGCTTGATCTCAGGCACTGCTGTGTTGGCCGCAGTCCTGACAGCGGAGCACAGGGCAGCACACAGTCTTTAGGTAATATAAGGCCATTTAGGAATTTATAAGCTAAAAGATTAAATTCTAGTACCCAGTATCTAATAGAGATTCAGAAATAATGGTATCAAGGACTTTTTTTCAGAAACAGTCTACCAGTGTCTTTGTGAGGGTTTTTTTGTGATTGCTGTGGACAGACTTTTGTTCATTAGGTGACAGGAGTTGACAGAAACCTGCAAGACGCACAGATATTTATAGGCTCTTCTGAAACGGGGACACGGGCATGCATCAGGAAGGAAGGCCAGCAGCCAGGTCATGGTGCAGGAGCAGGAAAAGTGAAAGGAAAGTGAACAGGTAGAAAGGTCAGGATATAGAAATGCACAGTGAGAAAGCTAAAAATAGAGCGAAGAATTATAGCTGTGTTTGTATTACTCAGGGGCTTCCAACCTTAAAGGATTTGAGGAATAAAAGATTATTTTACATGTTTATCTAAGGTTATGATTGAGAAGGTAAGGGATATGAAAGCATAATTTTCCCTTGTGTTTTCAATCCAGGTATATTTACGGAAAAAAATGCAAATTAGTTTCCCTTATTTCCATGCTGTCTGTTGCCCTTGCTAAACTATCATAGCATGTTACTGATCATTGTGAAATATATGCCATTGCAGTTGTAATTTTTATCAAGATCCTCTAAGATTAAGCTATGGTAACTTAACTTATTTAAATATTATGCATTTTCTCTCACTGCTTGAAAAATAAGTAGTTTTTCTGTTTTTCAACAGAAAAAACAAAAAAATATTTTGCGCATAGGAATTCAGAGTCTGGGTTCCATGTTGTGGGGCGATGACATTTCTTGCACCGATAATCCCGAAGACGCTCACAGCCTTACAAAATTTCTCTATGTTCTCCGTGGCCTCCTCAGAAAATCCTTGTCGGCCTGCATCATCACAGTACCTGCTCACCTCATCCAGGTAGGAATGCTGTCTTGGCTCTCTTATACAAGTGAACAAAAGTTCATGAATATGCTAAGGAAAAAAAAAAACGATTTTTGATATTCTGCAAAATTTTTGTGTTCCTAAGGGTAAACAACTCTGTGTTCTTTCTATACTCTTGATGGACAGTTTTGTCCTGCCAAATATTTAGGACCTAAACCTAAAGTCAGTTTAGGTACAGTTGTTCCCTCTGTGGATCTTAATCTGTTTTGTTTTTTAGGGTTTTTTTGTTTGTTTGTTTTGGTTTTTGTTTTTTTGAGAGAGACTAAAACTTCAGAAAATATTTTAAAATAAAAATAAAACAGAATTCTTTAATTTTTAACAGCCAACATCCTCACCTACTTCTCCACTGGCTTCAGAATGCAGTTTGGAGACTCAATAGAAGATGATTTTACTCCCCTGTCTTAAATTGTCATGTTCATCGTGATGATGACTAATATTGTCTATAAAGCCAGGAGCTGAGAGGCACAGGTTTATTGTTCAGTTCAGACATGCCACTTTAAGACCAGGGATAAGACAGTTATGGTGTGGGAATAATTTTCCCAACATTAAAATCAAAAGCTTCTAAAAGCAGCTTTCTTGAGAGTATTCAGAGTTTAAAATTCATCTTTTTGAGATCAATTTTCATAGTAAAAGGAAAAATGTAGTGGTAGTGTCATTTATAAAAGTAAAAATTGTTCACAATGAACAGAGAATCTATGATTTTAGCTACTGATTATAAGAAAGTATTGGATGAAACCTCATATTATGCCAAATCTTTTATAGTATCTCATTATCTTCACTTATGTATTGCATTTTATAAAGATCCTTGAAAATCTGTATATATTATTTATCTAGATAGCCCTGGTGTACTGCTAAGATAGAGAGGAACTTGATTTTCTTTACCATTGGGATCCAAAGTGAATATTGCTGTTGAAAATATCTTTTGGGGCAAAATTCAATCTCCTTGCTTAACCATTTTTAATAGAAGCTGATGCTTTTCCTTCAGAAAAGTTGATAGTAAAATTTAATGCAATTATTATAACTTGTGAAGGTATAACTAGCATGTGCCTCTCTACTGACTGCAGTTACCTATCTGTAACTGGAACATAGTCTGCTTCATTGTGTTCTTACTAGTAAATTATGTCGGTAAGAGGTGAGCATGTTTTAAAGAACCATTCTAGATTTGTCCCTTGAGCAAGTTTCTAGGGGAAAAAAAGAAGACTAAAGGACAAAGTTCTGTTTGTCTCGAACTTTTTTTTTCAATTCCATATAAATCAATTCCAGTCGAGTTAGGGTTGAAATTATTTTTTTAATATAACTTTTATTTTTGGATTCTAGCAGGATTGTCCTATGGTGCTAGAATATTCCGAAGGGGGGGGAGAAAAAAAAAAAAAAAAGATTTCCAGAATCTTTGCTTAGCAGCATTAAACAAATGAGAGCATTAAGTATTTTGTTGAAATTGTTCTACCTCATGTATCCTTCCTTAAGCACTAAGCTATGTCGAGAACTGTCATTAGGAGGAGCAAAGCTGCTGGAGGGTTCCTTATACCCCCCATTACTGGGTTCCCAGAGCCCTGCTGTGTAGTTGTTCGGCTCTCCGAGAAGCCTGTTAAAGAGCCCCTGAGAGCCTGTGTCCAGCCCTCCGCGTTAATAGTTAATTGGTGAGGATGGCAAGATGAGAGGACAGCCGAACATGTGCGCGCCCCGGCTCAAGCCGGAGACAGACCTTGCCTTATAATAACAGCAGCTGCTCACATTCTCACAGCCCAGCCACTCGCCATTCTGCTGCTGAGGTTTCTTGCTGGATTAAAAAAAAGGAAAGAAAATATCTTTTCTTTGCGAGAGAATGAGGGGAGGGGTTTTGTTGTATTTTTTCAAGTGCATTTCTGCATATGTGTTTAATTTGATCAAAAAGTAAGTTCTAGCATATGCTTTCTCTGTGGAATCTTAAAGGACACTGAAGGCACAGAAAATGCATGCAATTTTTTTCTGTAAGCGGAGTAAATTTCACACTTACTCCCTAACCAAATCTTTCTATATCTGCTACACTCTTTTGCTTCCCAGTGGTTTTAATGAGTTGTTCCGCAAGCAAAGTCTTTATATGGGTAATTTCCATGAAACTAAACTTAAATTCAAAGCCCAAATGTCATCAATATTTTATGTCCATACTAGGAGCATACATGCACAAAAATAGTTGTTACATGCTTTATCTTGAAGTACTTTTTAGTACTGACCCATGTCTTGTTTCTGACAGCCACGAGTGCTACTTACATTGGTGAAGAAGCAGTGTGTGTATGCTTAGATACACAAACACACACACGCACATAAACTTGAACTCTCAATAGATGAAGATTGTTTCCTCCTATTTCCCACATTCTAATGTTTCTGCTCTCTTTGATCACTTATCAACATTGAACAGTGATTTTGTTCTTCATGCTTTTCTGTCTGTAATACATATCCGCCAATGTTTTGGAATAGCTCTAATATTATTCCAGCTATTCATTCTTTTGGAATTAATAATTTTGAATTGCATCTGTTAGAATATGATGCTCTTTCACCCACTTGGATGGGACACTGAATGCTGTCACAGCCTTCTCTAAGGCTGAATGTTGGTTAAGACACAAGGCGCAAATTATAAAGAGTCTGGTTGTATACAGAAGTGTTTCAGAATATTATGAAGAAGTTTTAGTCCAAAACATGTTCTTTATATTTTCTTGATGACATCTCTAGTATAAAAAGTGCACAGGAGAAAATTATTTGCTCATCTAAAATAAAATCAGGAATGTAGAAGCGGATTTCAATGATTTCACTGAAAACTTATCCAATTATAAATTTTATGCACATGATGTGTGACAAGTTTTACTTGATTGATATTTTCTACTGATTGAACGTGCTCTTATCTTACCCTGTCTGTCAGGTGATAAATATTGAGATACTTATGAATGTGATTAAAATAGTTGATGGAAGGTTATTTTTCAAGTCTTTCTACCGCCTCTTGAAAATGCATTGTGCCTATAAAATGAGATTGTGCCTTTAAAAAGGGAAAAATGCTTCCATTTTTTAAACTAAGCATGAGCAACATGATGACAGATTTGTTATTACACTTTCCACATTTAAGAAATCTTATAAAAACAAACAAGAGCTATTTTTCCTATATTTTGATACTCTGATAATTTTAATACCCAATTGAAAATTTTTGTGCTATAGCATGTGACCTAAAGGACTTCAGTATCACTGCTGGATATTTGCAAAGCACTAAATTGGAATTTCAGATATTTCCCATTTTTCTTTTTTCTCACTTAAAATCACTAATCGTACTTAAAATATGCACAATAATGTTGTAATATTAGACATAATTATAGCTCTAATGTTATTCCACATTTATATTTACTGAAAGGAAGCCCATCTCTTACATTGAAGCCATCCTTTATTTTTGAATGTGAAGCTTTGTTACTGGTAAGGGCTAACAACTGTATTTGTCAGCATGTACCAAGGGAAATTAATTAACTAATGAAAAGTCAGTATGAATAAGCCTAGCTACAGAACTTCTCCTCAGAGTCTGACGTTCTGTTTAGCAAGGTATTTTCAGTATTTCAACCAATGTGTTTAAAAATTCATTTCCTACAATATTAATGCTTTGATGCTCTGAATTCACTGACATGTATTGAGTAACTGTATGTTTCGGTGTAGAAAAAATTAGACACAAACCTTTTCACATCCATAGGCTTTTGTGTTCACACCGAGTAATTTAGCGACTAAACTCAAAGTCAAGCTATAGATGGCTTGAGAATCCATTGCTACTATACGATTATGAGATGTCAACTCCCAAGGCTTGTGAATTTCTCACAGTTTGAAATCTTTATTCCTTCGACAAGAGCTAGGAATAATTGCATGCCTTGGACCTCTAAGTTCTCAGAGTTCACAAGTGTAAAATGCTGAATAACTTTCAGATGCGTTTGATGATACAGTCATTATATACGAAATTGTATCAAGATCAAGTGTCATGTAGCTTATCACAGTTAAGCTCTGAAATCCTCTGCAAGATAGCAAGTATGAAGATGAAATTGTCCTTATGTTTTCCCAAATTGGCATTTTTCAGCTCGCATACATACACAATCACACATGGAAAATCTTTCCCAAATTGGCATTTTTCAGCTCGCTTTTTAATACATACACAATCGCACATGGAAAATTTAGCTTAGCAGCCACATAAAGAAAAACAGAGCCAAAAGTTTCTGACAGTGTGTAAAAGTGTACCATTTAAAGTGTAACTGTGTGACAGTAAATTGTGTTTTTGATTTCTGTTGTTATATACAAAATTTGCTAATCAAGTTGCAAAAGAAATTGAAATATTTTACTGTTTAAGAAAACAAGTTTATAGTTGCTCAGAGGCTGTGTTTTTGCCCTACCATTTCTGATTTGGTAACCACTACCAATTTAAAAAACAAATGGTGTGTACGTGTGAAACTCTTTACACCCCTCTAGTAATTGGCCTTCACTTGACTTAGCTTGATTATGATAAGATAGTCACATTAAATGTTAAAATAGCATGCTTGTAACAGCATTCTTATTTCAATATATTATCCTTTATAGAGGGAGATAATATTTGCATCTTTATTACCACCTCCTCGGTAACCTGTTTTTCAGACAAAAAAAATCACTCTTCCAAAATCATTGTTTTTGGAAGTTAAGGAGTATATGCAACATGGCTCTGTTTTGTTTTACATTTTATCCATGTAATTTGTAAATACCCACCTGAAAACATTAAAAATCAGCTAAGGTTTAGAACCAAGTCTCTCCGCTGCAATATTAGATCTAAACAGTTAAATATCCCATCACAGTATGGAGATAGTCATCTGTTCAAGCATATGGAAGCTTTTGGCTACTGGACTAAGTAGTTAATATAATGCCCAGTGTCCAGACATGGACCCAACTGTTATGGAAGCAGACGGAAGAGGCTCATGTTTTGAGCCCATTTGGACAGCGATAAGTAAAAA